TTTGATACGTTGGTCAAACGTTTCCCAGTCGATAAAAAGTCGTAAGCAGTCGCAAACAGAGCAGCCAAGTTGACCAGCCAGTACGCGGGACTTCAGATAACATCGGTATCCTCGCCATGCGCCGCTAGCTGTGCACGTGGGATCCGAAGGTAATCCGAAGTTTTACAACCCTTACACCGGGATGAACTTTATGTCAGTTATATCATATGTCATTTAACTATATTTTTCGCTAGTTAAATAGGATATGAAGTATATCTGGATAAACTCGATGGCATAGTGTGTACTGCTCATCAATATGCATGAGACACAAAAACACAGAAAGTAAGAGTGACTTTAGTAAAACGTTTCTTCCTTTAAGTAGGTGTTATGCCAGTTTAACGTCTTTTTGATACACTTATTTTAACAAAGTTAGTCACCTGAAAAGCAACGAAGCTGAGACCGACAAAGATTATGGATAGATACATTTTACATGTTTTAACCGCTTCATAACTGTTGATGGACTTGAGATCTTCTACCAGTTACAAGTTAACCTCCTCTGAGCATCCTCAACTGCTGCAGTTTGTGTCAAAAGCTTTACTTGTTGGATATAAAACATTTCCCCATGATTCTCAGCGATTACATCTTTCTAGGTTTTTGGTGACTAACTTTATTGAAATAAGTATATATTGATCGCTTATTTAAAAATGCATTAAAAGGATTAAAGATCTTTGTTTCAAAGTAATTTAGCCGAAGCAACTGAGGCTAATGGTTTTACGAGACAATGCTAAACTGACAAAAACATTCAATAAAAAAAAAAAAATATTTTGTGTGTGTGTGTGTGTGTGTGAGATAGGGTTAACTTATTATATAAATTGGTTATTCATCACAAGATGAGGTTTAAAAGCACATTTACTTTTTGTTTGAAATCACTATTATTCTTTTCTCATTATAATTGCTCTATTTTTAAAATGAAATTTCATCTGTTTCAAAGATGTTTCTTGTCGTGTTTATTGCCTGCCTGTTTCCTTTAAAAAAAGAATTGTGTAAAAAATTTTTTCCCAATAAGTGGAAAGAATGGTAAACAAACGAATGAATATATTTTTGGTGTCATGCAAGATGAAACATCTAATTAAAAAAAACTGGTAAACTTTACCAACCTCTGGAAGGGAAGCCACTAAACGAAGTCCTCTTGCTTACATTTGCCGAAAAAAGCGATCCCCTGATACGAGGATTGGCGTCGTAAAGCGAGTGAGTAAAATAACTGTACTAGAGAACTATTTTGTCCTTAAGGCTGTGTCCCAGACAACTAAGTCTTATCCTTGCAAAACAGTCTTATATCTTATTGCGACGCGCTGACCTCGGAACCTGGGTCGAGGTCGGTTGATTACGTCATGTAAATCCATCACGTGACGCTGTGAGTTGATTTCAGAGGCTTAAACCACGATAAACCATCATGACGTACGTGTAATATATTTTATTACTTTGTGCGTGTCTTTACCAATTTCCGGTTATTTCGAAACCATAACAAAGGAGTTTAGTTCGTAAGTCGCCGCGTGGTTTCCACGATAAATCTATTGAAAAAAACTTGCTTGTTCTAAACACTGAAAATTAATTTCACTATCATTTGCCAACAAATAATGGGCTAGTGTTGTTGTTAGTGTTTTGGCGAAAATATTTCAAATAATTGTTCCCGCTGACGACACCAGGGAAAAACGTTTGCGCATGCGTGCCCTTCAGCACGTTTTCTAAGAATTTTGAAGAGTTTGAGTGAGAAAATAAATGTTTGTTTGTCTCCAAGTATACAAAAAAGTTCGAGAGTATACTATTGTCAGACTAAGATACTGTATTAGCAAACACAATATGAAAGACTTAGCCTTCAGTTTCAAGCATGGACACGTTTTGGCATTTTGTGAAGTCCAATTTATCAGGCATGTTTGTAAGTCAAATTTACTTATGTTTTGACTAATTTGCATACGGATTGAGAGCATGCGCAGATGTTTTTCACTCGTGTCCCTGTTGACACTGATTTCGTGTCTATCAGAATCAAAAAACTTTGTGTCAAAATGATATTTTTAGTCAAAGCAATATCGCTTTTGTAAGATCTTTTCTATTCTATTTTTCGTGGTATGACCTGTGCAAGGGAACGAAGTTGGTAAACATTAGAGGGATTAAACATCACTGTTTCAATTTCACCTCGCAAACGGCAGACATGACCACGTTTTTATTATCGTTTCTCTGCATTTCACTTGGAGATTTTTCGATTCTTTTTCAGTAGTCTGAAACAAATTTGCTTGTCAATCGCCCTATTTCACTATGACGTCACATCAAAAAATCTATTGTTTAAACGCAAAGGATCATGGTCGTCGGAGGRGGTCAAATCAACGCAAATTCACCGAAAATTGTTCTAAAACCCGTATCAATCCACGAAGAGAAGTAGAATAGCCAGCAAACTCTCAGAATATTTTTAAAGACATATTAACACATATTGTATCTGAAAACCAGGCCATTTTAGATTAAACTGTTTCGCTAGGAGCAAGTTTTGTTGAATTTTCTATTGGATTTGGCGATTCTATCCCCCACATAAACAAGCAGGGACGTCATAGTGAAATAGGACAATTGACGTTTTACTTTCGCCTTAAACGATATGCTTAAACTTTCTATTATCCCGCATTCGCTAGAACGTGACTTGAAGTCTGATGTTATTTCACTACTATCAATCAATTTTAACTGATTACAAAGTATTGTTAAGGTAAGCAACGTCTTATTGTTTGGCATAGTTTGACAGAAAATTTATTTTCAACGGACTTCTTTACCTTGGCCGTAATGTTTTCCCATTTTAGACCAACGTTTCATACCCTAGAGTATCATATCATATCTTTTATCTTTTCTGTTTGATATAGTTTTGAACTGAATAAAACCCTTCATTAATTGCGGTGCAAGCTTTCCTTAAATCAGAGGATTCCAGATTTAAAAAGTCTATTGTTCTTATTTTGGCAGGTAACGAAAAACAAATATCGACCCGAGTTCGAGCCCGGCCGTGCTCGGTGTCGTATGTGTGTAGAGTTGTTTGTTGGTTCTCTCCTGTGCTTCAAGCGTTTTTCTTCAGCTACTCCGTTTTTCCTCCCTCCACAAAAATCAACTCCTAAATAGCAATTCGATCTGGTGTCTCTTGCTCGGCAGGCTAAACAACCACTCCCTGCACATTCGACGTAATTTTTTTTTCTATCTTTTTATTTTTATTTTTATTTATTTTTATTTTTTAATTCCAGTTTCAATTACGCTTCTTACGTTTTGTGAAGCTATGTTTGTTTTCTGTTTAGTCTTCGAAAAAGAAGTTACCGACCTATTGTCTGTCATTTCTTTTGACAAAACTGAATACTCGGAAATTTGAAGTTTTGTTTTCTCCAAACAACGCGCCATGTTGACGTCCGCCAATTCAAAGCTTAGCGGATAACAAAGTTAGCTGTTTTGAAATGTTTATACGCTACGTTTATAAAGTATTATGGTTCTATTGAAACATTGCTTGGACTCTGAATGGCAAGTGTAGGAGAACAACAAGACACCTTGGCTACAGCTTCTATGCAACTTTCTCAACAGGGTTGTTGTTCAATAGGTTGTCATCAATGGCACTGACGCTATACTGAGACAATTGATCTTTAGGGTTCTAAAAACATTTCTTGGAAGGAATTTGCATCGACTTTTTGTAGGAAAAATACAACAGTGACAATGTAACCATGGGCGACACGTAAATTCATTGAGGATGGGGGAGGGGGTAGGGGGATTGTCCGATGTACTCTGCATCGCCCATTCAAATTAACTTCAACTATTTTTTATTTTTGCTTATCTTTATTGGTTCGTTTTTGTTTTCTTTTGTTTTGTTTTGTTTTGAATTTGTTTTTGTTTTTTTATTGCTTTTTTTGTTGTTGTTGTTGTTGTTTGTTTTGTTTTGTTTTTTTGTTTTTTTTT